GATCGTTGATCGTCGTGGAACTTGCAGCAAGTACTAACTATAAAACCAAAATAAGTCTGAATTATTTACGTCATGATGACGTCATGACGTTATTTCTTCTTAAATTTTGAATATTTGAATATTTCGTTAAATTTATAAAAATCCATATAAAATCATCCTTGGCCTCCCGCAACATTCTGTTTGCAGCAAGCGCCAGGATAAAATGTAGTCTTGAATTCGTCTCGTGTGGGTCAAACCAGAAGTAGGCTTATTGTTTGAAAGTGCTAAAAGGCATTAACTTTTTCAATGGAATTAGTCTGTTGGTGTTAGTGCTGGGTTGAAACCCTGCTTATGTCTTGAAGACGAAGTGCTTTAGACAAATATTGAGCTGATTTAGTGACGACGTCAACAACAATCGCTTCTTTAATAACGGACATAATCGACATTATCGAGATGTCAAATGTTATCAATTTTGCGTGGATTCTACTTTCGAGTTGATTAAAAAGGGGCGTGACACCTGATGATCTTTGTAGGGACGTATTAAGTCCTGAACCCCAAGCAGGACGGGTGATGAAGTCAATGACAACACCATACCCTTAACTTGCAGATCCCACAAATCACGTGACATGAAATTAAAGCATCCGTTTTCCTGCACACGTGTTTCTAGCCAGTTGACTTTGTACACGTTTTCGAGCCATAATTTTGGTCACTTTGAAATGTTTGATCGTTCCCAAAGTGATAGCAAACAAAAGACGCTGATACAAGATTCACTGCAAAGGGATTACGTCATGATGACATCATCTCCTTAATTTACAATGATTTTTGAATATTTCATTTTTCCCCATAGGTTTTGTACACATTTTTCTACCTAATACGAGTGAACGAGGAGTCCTTCGGCTCAAGATTACTCTAAGAAAGAAAGAGAAAACGGGTACTTTTCGGTCTATCATTTGATTTAGAATGTGCATAAAGCCCCAATATGACGTGAGATTTCATAAAAATTGTTCAGTTTAACCGCAAATCACGTGACATGAACTTAAAGGAGAAGTGTTTCTGCAAAAGAGTGTACGGCCCAATGACTTTGTACACGTTTTCCAGCGACAACTTTGGTAACTTTGCAATGTTTGATCGTTGTCAAAGTCATAGTTAACAAAGACCCTGATGCAAGATTTATAACTAGTGAATGACGTCACGATGACCTCATTGCCTTATTTTATATTGATTTTTGAATATCTATTTTTCCCCATATGTTTTGTACACGTTTTTCTAATTAACACAAGTGAACCAGTAGTCCTTTACTTTGGTTCAAAATTACTATAAGAACGAAACAGAAATTAGTGGTTTTATGCTTTGTCATTTAGTTTGAATTACACCTAAGAGTCCGAATATGAAGTTATATTTCATAAAAAAAAATGTTCAGTTTAAGGGCAAATCACGTTACATGAACTTAAAGGAGCAGAGTTTCTTCAAACGACTTTATGGCCAATTGATTTTGTACACGTTTTCGAGCCACAAGTTTGGTATTTGTGCAATGTTTGATCGTGTACAAATTGATAGCCAACAAAGACAATGATGCACGATTTATTGAAAATGAATGACGTTATGATGACTTCATCACCTTATTTTATACTGATTTTTTTCAATATTTCATTTTCCCCTTAGGTTTTGTACACGTTGTTTGACTTGGCATGAACTTCAAAGCCTTTTATCTCCTAAAGGACATGTCCTATCTCGTTGAAATTTTGCAGATAACTAGAAAGCAAAGTGTTACAGACGAGTTTTGACCTGCTGTGCTGATTACGTTTTCATGCTATAAGTAACGTGACGTTACATGTGCACTGTTTACTGAACTATATCTCCTGAAGTAGAAGTCTGATCGGATTCAAATCTTGCCTTTAGATATTAATGTCATGTAGGTCCTACTGTCAAACTATATAATTAACATAACAGACTTAAACAACATCGTCTGCGTATCCACTGTTTCCTCACTTTCTTTAATGTGAAAGTAGTGCGGGTACCAGTGAGTACAAGTTCACATGTCATGTACTCTTGTTAACCGTCCCGGCATTACCTTATATGCTGCAAGGATGGGAATGAGTCTGTTATACGAGTGCGACCAGTGATCAAATTCCCTGGTAGCTAATGCTAAAACGTATCACAGGTATTGTGCAAAATTGACTAAATGAGTGACAACAGTCGTTCTCGAACTTCCCGAAGCTCTTCTGTCGTGTGCGCATCCACGTGCTATCAGCAGAATTAGATGTCTTATGGTGAGTGTGATATGCAGATATATCGCCCTCTCATGTTTGGTTCTGCACCAATGAACAGAGAGTATCCAAGAGAGAGGTATGATAATAATAAATGCCCAAACGGCATGATGCGTGCACAGCTAATTATCTGAATGTTGGGCTACTGTGAACACGGAATACAAGAATACCACAAGAATACCAAAACTCACTAAGGTTACCCTCACGCAGTCAGGGTCCAGACGGGAAAAAAACTGACCCTGAAAAAATTCAGGGTCCAAAAGTGTGACATTTTTGTGTCCCTGTTACCCCTGACCTGAGTAATTTGACATGGAAATATCACTGAAATTGTTGTTGATTTATGTTGTCATTTCTATTGTTCTCATGGTCATAGTCATCTTTGTCAGGGCCACCATTAAAGTTAGCTTGATTCAAATACAGGTCCGAATTGAGGACAACGTTTTGGTGACTGAAAATGGAGCTGAGAACCTGACCGCCTTTGTTCCCAGAGAAGTGGCAGAGATTGAGACTCTCATGGCCGAGGGACAGTCGACGGATTAACATCATCTCTGTTTCTGCTGACATCTGGGCTTGATAGGGGCTTAACTTAGGCGGTTTATTTTTGCCACTGCCTGGAGAGATCCGTCATTAGTGGCATAATTTGAGTACATTTTTTGAGGGTATACTTGGGGGGGCCCACATTTTCTGGAAGCAAGCACTCAATGGTTTCTGTCACAATTAAAACAACGACCAAGGCAGACTGTTGCCAGAATTTTTCCATCTTTAATTTCTGAATGGGGAGGGGGCCCATATGAGGCCTCAGGCCTTGAGTGGGGGTGCTTCTGCCCCCCCTTCNAGTTACACCACTGGGGATGATGCAGAATCCCTGAAGTTTCTTTTGTGCTGCAAGTACCAAGGGGCGTTATCCATTTGAAAAGTTGGTAAGGGTTGTTTCCATTTGAAAAATTGGTAGGGGTTGCTGTACACTTGGTGTAACTGCTCACAATGAATACTTGCTTGGTAACACTAACATACTTAATTACTCATATCTGGAAGGGGATGTGTGATACACAAAAATTGACCTCATGGGATGATGACGTCATCAGTTGACAAGTCATGTGACATGAAATGTGCATGTGCAAGTCTGCGAAGCCTACATATCCCTGTCTTGTGTTCATTTTAGCATAAACTGCACTTCCGTAGTGGCTTGATCTGTTAATTTTCCGTAAAATTAAAGAGACTTTAAGAGATCTTGAATTATCCGCCCTCTCAATTTCTAATTTTGCTGCTCCATATTGTCGTGAAGAGAAATAGAAGTTATGATCAGCATTTCTTGAGGGCCAGAATAAAAATCCGAGAAAGGATAATCCTATGTCTCGTCCCCCGTTGGTCAAGAAATGAACAAGGACATATCCTCCTCATTTTTGTGAGGTTTACACCCTTAGATGAAACTTAAATCTGAAGTCTGTCTGGGTAACACAAACTTAAAACAAATCCGATGTCTCACCGACTTTCTTAAATACAGATTCATCTCATTAGAGACACTTGGTAAATGAGCATTGGACCTTTCAACAGCCCTTTTATGTGTCTGATTTCAATAAACACTGAAGCTGTTAAAATAATTCATAATGAAGCAATACCATTTTGACAGGTTTTAAGTTGATACACTGTACACACTGTGCTACTCTTCAACTCCATTTGCACACAATTTTTATGTGGTCGGGATTTACATCTTACTGTTTTCCATGATAGAACAATAAAATGCCTAACAGAAAGTGCTTTATAATCCTGAATGGTCCTTTACATTTATGCTTCGACCTAAGTCCACACTTGAGGTTCATTCCTTCACACTGTTGGGAAGCCAAATGGAATAAGTCAACACTCTCCATTTATGTTATGGTTTTTGTGTTAAACACACGTTCTGCGTAACTGATCCTTTTTAATACTTGCTACAAAATAAGTCAACTTCTAAAATGCCAACTGTATCGATGGTATTGTTGTTGATTATATACAATGGAACACGGTAATAATTGCTAAGCTTTGTTGCTGCCGCTTCTGCAATTTTTTTGTCTTATAAGCTGAAATGAATTTTAAAAAGTGACCCATGTATACATATAAGCAAAGGCTTGGGACGAGTTATGTCAGTGTTGGTATTGCACCCATGTATACATAAAAGCAAAGGCTTGGGACGAGTTATGTCAGTGTTGGTATTGCATACAGCATAATACTTTCATAATTGTATTTACACAGCCTTGTGATTTCTAACAATGCTATTTAGACAAAATGACAGTTTAACTTTTTACCAAATTCTGTAATTTTAGGCTGGGGTGGGAATGTTTTCGAAATTTTTTCAATGGTCCCTTTTTGTTTCACGTAAAGAGGTAAGGCCTTTAACAAAGTAAATTTGCTTCCATTTTTATTTCATTAGTTTCAATTTTTGAGTGCTCGTACGTCCTTAATACTTGTTGTGAACATATATATGTACCTCAAAATATGTTGAAACTCATTAAACGTTACCTGGAGAAAAAGTGCTTTTTTGGCAACATGAGTGTCTGCCGTAATGGTTTAATGGTGTGCTGTGCAATTTAATTTTCGGATATGTAAACAGTGCAGTCCGCATTTGGTGTAATTACAATATCTGTTGAATTCAGATTATATAGACGACATCGCTTGCTACTTTTTGTGTAATCAAAGGAAAAACAATCGGTACCCTGAGTACACTGATCGGCGCACAGTGCTAGGGATCTTGTCTTCTGGGTCAACAGGGGGTTGGGGTTACTGATCAAGCCCCCCTTGTGTAGCCTTCCAAATTTGGCTGACCTCTGTACAGGAACTGGGGAGAATAAAAAATGCAGGTTATGAAGACTGTAAATTATAATTTCCCATCAAGTTCATCAGCTCAGTTCTTGTTCTTGGAGGTAGACAACATTTACCAACGTATTCAAATACAACGTGCGTTAAAAAATATCAACCATCTATCCATCAACCAACTACATGTACCCTGACTACACCCTTAACCCACTTACCCCCTTTCACCCATGCCCTTCCACCCAGTAGCGGATTCAGAGGGGAGCGTTCCACACCCCCGTCTGTTTCCGTGTTCTTCGTTTGCAAGTTTTTTTTTTTTTTTTTACCTTTCCCCTGTGGTTCTTTTCCCCCTCATCTGATTATTTAATGATTTTAAAATATATATCCAAATAAAAGAATTGCCTGCTCGTATGTTCGGGTTCATCTTCAATTCAGGATCCCCCTTTTTGAAATTCTAGGTCCGTCACTACACACATTCAATGAAATGACAGTAAGCAGAAAGGCCGCACCAATTTCTGACATGAACAATTACATGATTCAACATTGTCAGATTATTTCGCTAATTCGGATACCCCCGAAAAAGAATATTCATGAGCACCGGCTGATGTGCCAACAAACTTTGTTCCACCCCTGAGCTCTTTTTTCAAATGTTACAGGAATTGGGCACCGGGCCAGGATATACATTTAGGCCTATATCCCTGCCAAAGTGCCAACATCCCCACAAGCAAACGAAGATGTGCAACAGTTGAGAAGTTATTGATTTTCCGGTCCACTATTTTTTTATCTATCAGTGAGTATGATAAGCTCCGAGCTGAGTCAAGAGAGGGCTCAATTTTCCTAGTAAGGGCGGCTCCTTTGGTCGGAACTACGCTTCGTTGGTTCACTAACGACTACGAAATGCACACGTAACGCTCGCGTTGCTGCCAACAAAATTAACACTCCCGACCATATGGCTCTTTTCAACCGATGAGGGGGTGCTTCTGCTCAAGGCAGATTGTGTGAACAGATTTTTTTT